GCTCCCCTGCTTTATAAAGCAATGGTTGCATTCCTCGGGAAGAGGAGGTAGGAACAGCCTGCCCAAAGAACCAGCTCCTTGCATTTTTTCCATGCATTTTAATTATAAAGCAGAGAAGAACACGATTAAAATTTGGCAGTTTCCATCAGCGGCCGCACTGTCTAAAAGCAGATTTTGTCTCCCGCTTGATCTTTTAGTTTGCATTTTATTAAAGCAATTGTCATGTTCTTCCCCAGGTCTGTGCAATCCTAGAAGGACTTTGCAGCTTCCCTGGATGCAGGTGCTGGGACTGGGAGGGTTGCAGGGACACCCTGAGTGCTGGTACATTCCCATCCTCTCCCAAGTGTCACATTCTGGCTCTTCCCACCTGCCCACATCCCGCTGCCAAGTTTTCATTATAGACCGTGGCCAGAAGACAACTGAAAAATAACTTACCCTATTCCCCTTCTCGCCAGGCAAACCAGCCAAGCCATCAAACCCTCGGTCACCCTGAAAGAAAAAAAACAGTTTAGTTCACATTTCCACTTGCCATTGAATATCTTTCCAATTTGTTTCCTCGCTGTATCAAGAAGGAATCAATTTTCTCCCTGAGATGTTGTGGCTTCACATCTCATCAGACTAGTCATGATTTCAAAGTTATAGATTAAAGAAAGGCTCAAATAAAGCCATTGTACATCCTCCCTCTCCCCTCAGCACCTACACATTTTTTTTTCTCCTATGTGGATTTCAGAGCTTCCCTAAGTGATTTCTCTCCAGTTTCTCCAGAATTTTCTTCCAGTCAACTTTGTTATTTTTAATTCCACAAAACTACAAATCATGATCCACTAGTCACAAACTGAATATCAGTATTCCCATACCTACTAACAGGCCTATAAGGCATCCCACCTCTATGGGCGAGACATTGCTTTTAACCCTCCTGGATGCTCCGTGGGAGCAAATATACAAACCATGGACCCTATTCCAACACGACATACCCAGTCCCTTCCAATGGGCTAAGTCAAGTCTTGGTTTGGACCCTTTCTGCCCCAAAACCTCTTGCAACAGGACAGTGTGGCCGCATGCCGGAAGGCGGCTCCGTCCCAACCACCACACGAGCTTGGACAACTCACGTCAAATTCAATCACAAAGAAGAAAAAGCAAAAATTGGGTAAACCTGACCAGAGGGCAGTTTGGGGCTGATGGTGTCTCACCATGGCCAGTGCAAGAAGCAGCAGCATCACCCAGTAACTAAAAAAGTCCTTTTTCCTCTGCAGAAGAGGAAAACCCCTTGTGAAAAGCCACACCATAGCACTACTGCTAAGTGCCAAGAGTGCCAGCACATAATTCATCCTACCGCCCACAAACCCTTCATCTATTAACAAGGAAAAGAAACTTGCTTGAAGGATACATCCATCCAGCAAAAGTGCAAAGCATTTTGGTAGGTTGACCAGGACGTACATGCGCTGACAGCTCGTTCATTGTGGTCACACCGTAGAAAATTGCTCTTTCTTTTCTCACAGTGAATTTAGTCTTCATTTCTCGTGCTGTTCCCTATTCTGTTTTCCCTTCATCCCTGGTATCCACTCCTCCAAGGGCAACTGGCGCTCATTAAAGTGCTTTAGTGGGTAAATGATTTGCAGTGTCCTGTCTCTGCATCACCCCCCATCTATTCCAGCTTTAAGTATCTACATCATAAAGTACTTAAGCCTTCTAATACATGATTCCCCAAGCAAACTTTCTCAGAATTCAATTTTGGTCGAACAGCTCCTGTCTTGCTTGATAATACCAGCAGATCACAGCTGAACGAAGGGATTTGCTCTCAAATATAAGTACAGGGCATTAGAATTCCACACCACACCGTCTACGTTTCCCTCACCCAGTTAATAGGTGTTTTGGGGTAGTTATATTTTAGGGCATGTTCAATTGCTCATTCATGTTTGTTTTGCTTAATTGAGATTCCAAAGTGTTTGCTCTACAACTGCAACCATGGGAGTGTATTTATCCTTAAGAGGATCAAGCAATTTTAAAAACTTGCACCAAAAAGAATAAAAAATAAATAATAGAAAGCAGAGGTAAATCCCTAAAGCATATTAATATGTAAATACATGGCACTACCTTTGGGCCTGTCTGGCCTGGCATTCCCCGGGCACCATCGCTGCCTGCACGTCCCTGCGAAAGAGAGGAGCAAAGTCAAGGACAACGGGTAAAACCAGAGCCCAGACACCTGCTTGTTGGTCTGAGCGGAGTTTTAAGCTGCAGCCTGATGGCTGGGAGCAAGGGGAGGAAACGACAGTCTGCGTTTGAAGCAGCATCCCCAACTCAACTGGGCATGGGGAGATGAACAGCCGCCAGCAGCGCAATTCCCGGGACACTCACCCTGCGGCCTGGTTTTCCTGCTGGGCCTGGAGGGCCTTGGATGCCTCGTGGACCCTGCAAGGCAGAAAGGAGTGAACGGGAGATTGCAGCATCCCAAAGCATTCGGATGCACCGAATCCCTGCCAGCCTCAGCTCGGCACTGAGGGTCACTGGGGCTTCAAAATAGGACAAAAGTCCCTGGAAGGAGGCCATGGATCCAAATGCACAGGGCAGCCAAGTAGTCACCTCCCCTGGGCCACCTGGGCTCACACAAACGCAGGAATCTGGGTTTTCCAAGCATCCCCATGGATGCCTTCACTGCCAAGGAGCATCATCTGCAGCAGGATTTCTGATTTTTTACTTTTTCAGTCTGCATGTGGGGACTCGAAGGGACATTTGCACCCAAAGCAGATGTTCCCACAGCTTCCCCACGTCCATGACATTTAGGGATTTGGGTTGCTCCTTCACAGCAGCCTCCCTGAGGGGACCTGCTCGTCACCTCCGCATCCCCCCGTCCCCAAACCTGCCCCACGCACCTGCGGTCCCATTTCTCCTGCTTCGCCCTTCAGTCCTCCGCTGCCCGGCGGTCCCTTTGGGAAGAGAGGACATTTATCAGGCTGTGCCGACGGGAAGACGGAGCAGGCCTCAAGGAAGAGGCACGTGCAGGGAACCAAGAGAGCTCGTGGGGCCAACGCAGCCCCCCGTGCAGCAGATGCTCAGGTCAACCGTGTCCTCCGAGCACCACGGCAGGTTTGGGCACGGCTGGCACCCGCCAGGAGCTTCCATGCAAAGGGATAAACGTGTGGGAAGACAACGGGAGACGCCAGCAACGAGGCTGCGCGACGGGATGGGTCACACACTGCTCTCCAGAGACACAGGTTGGTGTCTGCACGCAGCTCAATGTCACAGAAACAAGAAATCAGGCTCCAAAGCCTGGTGCTGGCCAGGCTCCTGCTTCACCAGCTCCATCCTCCTCCTCGCCCATTTACTCACCACAGGGCCTGGCCGTCCCGTCAGGCCCATTGGACCGGCCGGTCCTCTCAGCGCCAGCTGCAAGGGGAAGAAAACAGCACTTAATTGGTCTCCGGGCTTCGTTACTATCAACCTCTTCTTGGCAACCGTTTAATATTCCTCCAAACAGAACAGTTCTTACAGTGTGGGGAGCTTAGCTTGGTAATTAAGTCATGCAGCCAGCATCAAGTCAATGATTTTCATGGTGGCTAATGGGGCAGCCCACATTTTATAACATCCCTTGGACGATTTGTACCGTTGTGACAATTCGATATTTTAAAAGGCTCGTAATTATCTGTGTACTCCAGTGATTAACATCTACCCGTGGCTGCACTTGGAATGGCACAAATACTGCACAAATGCTAAATTGCAGGGCATCTTTTTACAGCTCTCCATTAAATAGGAGTTGCTCTGAAATGTTGCCTGCTGGGACAATGTTCAGTGTCTATATGGAAAATCGAATTTTAAGGGAATAAATCAACCGAATAACAAACAAAACAAGAGATATTTCCCCCATCTGCAGCACTCCGTTTCCTTTCCCACTGCATTCAAAAAGTTCCCCACAGAAAACTTTATTTTATCTCCCTTTCAGTTTTGCTAGGGTTTTCAGCTGAAATCATCTGATGATTGGTTGAATCTAGTCCAGAAACCAATCTCTTCCTCATTGGAAATGTTCAACTTTTCATCTATTGCCTGAGTCACCCAGTTTATATATATATATATATGTGTGTGTATATATATATATATATATATATATATATATATATATATATATACATGTATATATATACACACACACACAACATTTAACCTAACAATTGAGAAACTAGAGAGAAAAGGGAATTTACTTTGAAGGAGGGAAGGTGGGGGAGCACTGCTTTGTTTTTCAAAACAGTCCTAATTTGCAATGGTCAGGAGGAAAAAAAAACAAACAAGAATAGGGAGTCTGTGAGAGCAGATGCTTCTCATGAAATTTTCATTCAGTCGAAAATCCAATCTCCCAGAAAATAAATACCGATGGAAAAGTTGTAGGCAGTCTTAGAATTAGGACTGATGAGGTAATGCCAGAATCATAATCCACCAATACTCTGCTCCGAGGAAAGTAAATGGCTGGGAAAATGCAACGGCTGATGGCATCAGGGCCCTGCACTCTGCCTGAAAATGCTTAAAACTGAACTCCTGGGTAAAAAGCGAGTTGGATGGAAACCAGAATAACCAGCTAAGCCAAAATCCTCATTGCTAACCTAAAAGGGACACGTGCAATCCTGAAGGCCAGTGTCCCTCTGCCTACTGCCTCCCCAATTTGAAATTTGGAATTGTGCCTGTTGCATTTCTGCTTTTAACATCTTGAAACTTCCTTTCTGTGGGCCACACAAGTTTCGAAATTCTACTATCTAGAAACTGAAGTTTCTTCTTAGAGCTTGCAACACAAACACGCTCCTCTGGCCAGGGAACAGGAATTGTATTAGTGCTGTGCGGGGCCGGTCTCATTTCACCAGTGAGGCCTAAATAATAAACACTGCAGGGAATATTTTATCATCAATCAATGTGGTCTTCCGAGAAAAAAATATTGCAAGGATATTCATCACATATTTCCAAATAAACACATTAAAGGAAATTGCAGGTTGCCTGCAGAGACCCACAGAGCTGAGAACAGCTAACTCCTGTGACATACAGTCAGTGATCGAGTAAGATTTACTGAGAAAAAATAAAGCCAGCCGCCTATAAAGCAAGCATATACCACGAGCCTTCACAGAACCAAGGGCTGCTCCTTCTGTCAGCATGAGCCAAAGTGTTGAAGCCAACAGGTCAATGTCCCTTTGGGTCAACATCCCCTTGCACCAACACAAGAACTTGCATCAGTGACAGGCCTGATCTGCACACTGCAAGTCACCCAAAACCTGTTCATGGCCATTAATAAAAGACCAAGTCATGTAAATGTGATCATCTTAAGCCATAGCAGCAATTCTTCACCTCCAGACCAGGTTGAGATAGTGTTCCAACCATAGCACTGCTGGAGACGGTGCAAGTGCAGAGACATCTCCTCCACGCAATCATTTCGCTCGTCCTCGGGCACCCGTTGCAGAGGTCCCTCACTTACCCTCGCCTGCTGCAGGATGGCTTGGGCCTGGGCCTCCTGCGCCGACACGAGGGGTCCTTTGGAGCCAGCGTCTCCTCCACCGCTGAAGCGGAACTGGTAGGAACAAGATGGACAAGGCAGGTCATGGGGCTTGCACTAGGCAGCTTCACCCAGAATGGTTGAAGGGCCCTCTAGGGATCCCCCAGTCCAACCCCCTGCTCCAGCAGGGACACCCAGAGCAGGGGCACAGGGTGACACCCAGGTGGGTTTGAAGATCTCCAGAGAAGGAGCCTCCACGACCTCTGTGGGCAGCCTGTTCCAGTGCTCTGTCACCCTCTTAGCAAAGAAGTTCTTCATATTCCTCAATACCTCTCTCTAGCATGACAGACCCAACCCCATCACTGCTCTTCCAAACCCTTATCTTCTTCCTTCCTTCTGGCACACACACCCTTCATCCACCTTAACCACCTGCCCTCTTTGGGGGCTTGCAAGAGGGACTCCCTGGGCTGCAGGACCTTTTGGGCGGCTCTTTCACCTCAGTTTCACCCCTGCGTTTCGCCAGGTTGGCGCTAGGGACATGACCACACAAACGTGGCAAACTGAGGCAAAAAGGCACAATTTCTAGGCCTACAGTTGATCACTGCAAGGGCCAACAGATGTATCGCACCGGGCAGCCAAGCTCCGTGTCGAGCACTTGGCCCGGCCGCCCTAGGCACCCTGCCAGGAACCTACACGTGTTTCCCCTGCCATGTGGAGTCTGGACAAGCGTGCTGTGGTTCCTCATTAACGACTCCTCCTCTCAGTACCTAACCAGTTATTTTCAGCAGCTGGTTTCCTTAGGGCTTTCTCACATCAAAGCAGAGACAACCATAATCATTCCTTTAGTGTCCCAGAACCAAGAAGGCTGACTCAGGACTTGCTAACTTGGTGCAGAGCAAAAACACAGGGCAAATTAACCACTGGGCATCAGAAGAGATCAGTTAATTTAGGTGCTCACTCCATTGGAACCTGTTTTGAAGAGCCTTTAGAAGTTCCTCACCACAGAGAGGGTTTTACTATAACCTTGGCCCTTGGAGGTGTCTTCAGTTATCTCACGACTTTCACCCCCCAATACCATACCTAACCTGAAGCACTTAAACTTAATCATTGCTCTGCACTTCTGACTAGTGAAGATGTCCCAGGACTTGGAAAAATGTACATTTCCGAGAAGAATCACCTGGATTGCCCTTGTAAATGAGGAGAGGAGGGGACTTCTGCAAGAACTGGTACTAAGCAGTAGCAAAGCACAGGATATAGTCATTTTAATGCTATTTTTAAGCTACATTCATACTTACAGGCAACATAAGCATTGTCCCTGGTGGTCCGGGCAAACCATCTGCTCCTGGAAGACCTGGTCGACCAGGTGGTCCCTAGAAGAGAGGCAAATAAAAATAAATTTCTATAATGTCATCTGAGTCATGGCCTTACATAAGCAGTTGTGGCTGTAAAGGCACGTGTCACACCACAAAGGGCTCCCTGTCTTGACAGATAGATAGCGAGTCCTTTGGCACCCCGATGCTGAGGCAAAATCTGGGAAAGCAGATCTGTAAATGCACATGGTTTTCCTTAGCAGCTCTTTCTCCTTGCATTCTGGCCCCTGCAGTTTCAAGGTCTGCCATACCCAATGAACAATAAAAACCTCTGCAAGGTTCCAGAGCAAAAGAATCAATGTTTACTTAGGTCTGTTAAAAATCTATTAAAAAAAGTATATGAAGCTTCATAACTCAGGCTAGAGAAACAGAAATGTGGAAAGATAAATATATTTCCATACATGTTCAGTCATCTGGGTCATTCCATTTTTCTCTCTTCTTTTTTTTTTTGTCCTATGAGGCTACTTCTGTCTACAATTGAGCACTCCTGTCAGCAGCAGTAAATCAGCAAAGCTCAGAGGATTTCAATGGAGCTATGCTGATTAATATCAGTTGAGTATCTTTAACTCACACTAAAGAAACGAGTATGCAGTAAAAGATCTATTGATGAACCCATAAATAATCAAATATGGCCAATTTTCCTACGGCAGCCCATAGATCATTTGCATTCCCAATTGTGTACTCGGTGGAAAGTTTAAATTAACCCAAATTTGCACATCCGACAATCCTACATGCACATGAGGATGACCTCCAACGACTCAACGTGCCTGCATAATTGCAATTATAACAGCAGCTTATAGAGCTGAATATATGACAGGGAGGCCAAGCCAGGGCACTTGTGTCACGGGGAGGTAACCAGAGCTGCCTGGCGGACACCTCTAGGCTGAGGACTGAGAACACTCATAACCTTAGCAAATACCAATAATATATTCATTTTTGCAGATCCAAAGCTCTTGAAAGGGCAAGCAACAAATATCTGCATTAGTTCTCAGTCCCTTCAACCTGCCTACAAGCCCACACACCAAACTAAAGTAAAAATAAAACCCTGCCACAAATCAAAGACCCGGATGCACACGCGACAGTAGAGATAGTCCTTGGCTCGGGGAAACAACACGTTCATGGGACGAGGGAGGTGGTAAAGGTGAGAGAGGGCACAGGGAAAGGGTACAAAGTGCTGAAAGCAAAGCACTTGGAAAGAAAATAAACAAACAGAAACAAATGGAAAACTAGAACAACAACAAGGAAAAGGTAACTGAAGTGTTATCTTAGCCCTACTGTTTCCCAGCGAGATTCAGGTGCTTGCAGATCTATTTTTGGAAATGCCTTGAGACCTGTTTTGCCTCGGGCTGAGTTTCAGGCACCAGCCAGGAGTCCCGATGCAGGGAAGGGAGCGGATGGGATTGGGAAGCACCATTCCCACCTGCCTGGATCAGCATCCCGGACCAAAGCTGCTCCCAGGGCTGCGGCAAACAGCGCTGCAGCCCGTGATTTATCAGCCGCCCCCCAGCAGGTCCCTGTGTGCGGGGGGAAGCTGCCAAGCAGCCCGGCCATCCGTTTTCCACGACAGGTTCCTGCTGTTTACTCGGCCTCTCCGACAGCGGGTCCCTGTCGCTGCGGATGAGGAGCAGATCGGCACAGAGGGCAGCCCCAGCTGCTGCATCAGAAGCCCGGTAAATAATTTAGGCCAGACTCATCTTATACAATAAACTTTCCTTCTTCTCTGCCCCCTCTTCAGTAGCTTCAGTCCTACCTGCGATGGATCTCTGTTTGTGTGCTCTGCCTCACAAATGTTGGTGGAAGGTTTTTGCACATAAATGCCCGGTTTTGTTTCAATTTGACCATGTTAGGGCTTATTTCAGAGGGTACAAGGAGTAGAAGAGGCAATGAAAAGAAGGAAAAAACAAAACCATAAAGCATTCCTTCCATTTAAATCCAGGCTGGTTTTCTGAAGCCTTTAAATGCTTTTAGGTACCGTAACCCAGCAGACTCTCAGCTGGTGTAAATGAGCATCACTAATTATGTAAATAGAGAGCTGCTGATATATAGCAGCCAAGGAGGGGGACTTTAATTTTTATTTGGTGCAGTGCTCCAAAATGCCACGCTGAGTGCAAGCATTAATGTGATCCTGCAAGGAACCGTTTCGCTGGATATCTCAGTGTGTTGCTGCTATTGCGGCTGTAACGAGAGATGGTGACAGACAGGCTGAAGGCAGCTCAGTGCTCAGCACGGTCCCCAGCAGCAGCGGCATCGATCCACTTGAGAGCCCACATTTTTGAGCCTCCAAATTTGCTTGAAGTCCCTCTCAAGGATTACACTTCTGCCCTATTCAGGCCTGGCCAGAGCATTCTGCAAGAAAACAGCTTTCACGCAGTATTTTGGGGTCTTCGAGGACTTCGAGGTAAGGCAGTCTGATGGGAAAAAGGGCACCCTGAAAACTTTAAATATTTCAGAACTGCAGGAAGGATTTTAGAGATGCATTACATTTCTGAAATGCAAAACTGGCCTCACTGGGAATAAGTCCATTGGGAAGCGATGCCTGCAACAGTCTTGGAAAATATAACCACTGCTTTGAGCAGACTCATCAGAGAGCCCAGCAGCAGCAAAGTGCCGACGGCTTCCAGCACAGGGTGCAGTAGTTAGAGAGCTCCAGTCTGTTCTACTGCTGCAGATCATCTTGAAAAAAAAGAGCCTATTTTTCCCACTTCCTTGGTGTTCCCAGGAAACAGCTCTCTCTTCTCCCAAGTGCCATATTTCTCCTTCCCACTACTCAGAAACCTGCCTAAACCCTCCCAAACTGCCCTCGTTTCTCCAAAACCTCCCACAACCAGGCTGCTCTGCTGGTGACGCCAGCGCTTCCCGGCATTGTAAAATAACTGGGATAAATGAACAAACTGACGTGATGAATGGAGCAGAGCTAAACACGCGTTGGTCGTATTAACGAAGCTGAATATTGGTGGTACATTAACTCGGTGCACCTGCCTGATTGCAAATAAAAAGTCTTTCCATCAAACGCAGGCATATGAGATGCTCCTCGCTTTACACGCACAAGTGCCATGTAAATTCATGAGCTATGTGCAGCTTAATAATAATAATAAACAAATTAAAGAGGGGCTGCTTTAATTGGAAAGGAGTATTTTAACATGGTCGCAGCTCCTGGCTCTGCAAGCTCATCCCTTTTCTACATGCAATATGTTGCATTTGGTTGTAGGGGATTGGGATGAGCGTCCATCCTGCTGTATCGGGGATTTCTTGGGATGCAAGAGCTGCCTGGGACCTACCCAGCTGAACTGCAAAGGTTCCCTGATACGGTCCAGCACCCAACAGATGCAGATGCCCCTCTCAGCCTTCCTGATGCAGGGGGAATCGGCACCGCGGTGTCTCCAAGGGTTAATCCCCCCGGAACAAGCCTGAGCCTGCGGTCACGTATCGACTTCCTCAGCCTTCCAAGGCGCCGATCGATGGAGCACAGTCAAGGCCTCTAGTTCTCAATCATGTCACAACCACAAGAAACGCTATTACTGCTCCATCAAAAAACAATAAATATACCAGGAGCTTCAAGGAGGCAGGGGCTGCCTTTGCAGAAGGGCTTCACAGAGGCCACAGGCGCACAACGACCAGGGAACTCCATCCAAGATGCTCAGGAACCAGCAGAACAACAAAGTAGCTTAATTAAAAAATAAATGCCCAAATTTGGGCCACCGATACTCCAACACCCAAGTTATTTCCCTAGGCACTCCTTCAATCTCCAGGAAATGCTTCCCAGTCCTCACAGTCATTCTATTTTGCAGCATACATGTCATGGAGCAGGGAGATAAACAACAGCTTTCACCTATTTACCTTAGCAAGGGAAAAGCATTTGGTCAGTCTGTATGGTCACTGCTTGCACATTTTGGTACCTTTTAATGTGCTCTAAGGTATAAATGTGCTTAGTCATTTCCAGAGGTGGATCAGCTCTGGTGCCAGCAAACAGACAAGGAATAAGGAGAAATAAAACCAGGGGATTTGATGCACGGCCAATGGCAACTCGAACCTCTCCCCTTGCTTGGGCTTTCAAAATTAGGCTGAAGTGGGATTTTTCTGTTTTGTAGTGCTGAGATCTTGTGCAGATTCTCTACAAAGCAGCAAATACTCCCTTAAGTTTATTCTAGGTCTTAGGCTATGCAATTAAAAGAGAAAAGAAAGGTTAAAGAGAAGATAGACAACAAGGTATCGCCATTAGGAGTCAAAGCAATTAGCTGCAGTGAGAAACACATCAGAATAACAGGGCAAAACTCTCCCCTCTCTCCCTTTCCTGCTTAGGGCTCATTTCAAACCTCATCAGGCCATAGAGAACTTAAGAGCGTCAGGGAACTTGCTGCCAGGAGAAAAACTGGGGGTCCAGGGGTCCCTTCTGCTGGAAGCCATGGGACAACCCGGAGGCAAACGGGACAATTCCCCAGCTGGAAACCAGTCCTGCAGGGCTGGTAAAGCAGCAGAAGATGCTCCTGGACACCGGTGCCTGCTGCAGGTATCAGGCTGCTTATGGGCCACAAAAAAGGGCTCATGGGCCCTGGGCATCTGGAGGAGCCACTCAGGGAAAATCCTGATTTAAACCTAAAATTAGACCTCTCCAGCCATAGTTTTTTAGCAGAAAAAGCAAGAGTAATGTTTCCTAACAAGACTCTCTTCCCACCCTCGCTCCCTTAACCTTTTTCCTAGAGCAAAGCAGTGATTTACACGCTCCATCAACTGAACCCAGGCTCTTCCAAAGGGACTATTGGATCCCTCCAGCTTTAGACTTAAGCTGAGCTGCTCTAGCAGCCGAGGTTGTTTTAGCCTTTCTGTAAAACCAGAGCCCTTCTGTGCTATGGTGAATCTTCCACTAGATGTCAGGCCAAAATTACCACTCCGCACACAGCTAGGAACACCACGTAGCCCGGAGGAGGCAGCTTGGCTCCTGCAAAGCCCATTGCACAGGGGGAACCTTTCCATGCTGGACAACCTTCCATCAGCAAGAGGAATAGACTTTGCACAGGGATCAGTGGTTCGGATACAAAAGCAAATGGTCATTTCTGGGACTCAGGTCTGCAGAGCAAAGGTTTTCTTTTCTTTCTTTTCTTTTTTTTTTTTTTTCTCCAGTATTGCAAAGTTTATGGATTGCAGCTGGTTTGGTGCTTGACCACCACTTACTGAATCAAGGTTCAGCCGTTCCCAAGCCCAGCCATGGGATTTGAGGTTGCAGACCATAATGCTCAGGAAATGCTACCTTGAGCGCAGACATTAGTGCACAAAGCATTGGCTAGCAGGGATAAAATTGATCTAAAGCAACGTCAGATACGCAAAACCTAAGTTACTGCACTGCTGAAGTACATAAATCAGTCTCTAGTGACTGCTGGTACAGATCAGCAATCCATGGTCTAAAAAGGTGAGATGGTGCGAAGTGAAACCTTCCCAATGGAGCAGTCAGAGAGAAAAAAAGGGAGGAAGATGCTCTTGTTTAACCTGCAGAAAATCCCTCGTCACATTTACCCTGCTTGGCCGTTCCCAAATCATTTGTCCCCAGACACAAAGCCCTTACCCCTAGCCCAGGCTCTCTAGGAGTGACATCCCCTCAGCTTAATTTGGAGGGAATGGGGTTAAGGACTCCAGGGATTGCTACCAAAACCCCTGTGGGATATTTTAGGACTGTGATGATACACTCAAGTCCAGCTTTGCATGCGTGCAGCGACACAAGGCCCCAGCCAAAGCACAACATGTGGATACTCACTCGCTCCCCAGGGTCACCCATTTGGCCCACGGGTCCAGTCGGCCCTGGTGGTCCTGGCATGCCCTAGCATGGAAAAGACAGAAAAAAAACAGCTATTAAATAAAAAGACTTTATTGTTTGTAATTTATTTGCATAAAGAACAAGAGAAAAAGAATTAGGGCTGTCGATTTTGGCTCCAGAAAACTGACCCCGAAGTTCTTTTAATACATGCACACGTCTTATAGAAGTGATGGAGCCCCCAAAACATCTGGGCACACCAAGCATCTGCACCTGGGGCTATGCACAAACCTATGCATATAGGTTTATATATAGGTGCCCTGCAGCGGGGTGGGCATCCCTCCCTCCAAGCTGCACACAAAGCTCAACTTACCGCTGGGCCTTCGGGACCGGGTGGCCCTTCCACCAGCATGCCCTAAAACAGGTAGAAAGAGCAGGGATTAGCAAGGGGCCTCCTCAAAGGCATCCAAATACAGTGCTTAAATGCCAGAGCCTCATTTGTTCTTCAAACCCCCTGAGATTTTGCTCCCCGTGGATGCCAGGGCACAGCAGAGCAGGGCAAAATCCTTGCCCCAGCACAGGGGCATCTCTCCTGCTCTGACCTTGCTCCGTTAGCTCCAGGACAGACAAACGGAGCACACCAAGGCGCTGGCAAGCCCTGCTCATGCCAGCGTAGGAGAGAAGAGCTCCTCTTCCAGAACGAGATGCCTGTAGACCCAAGCAGCTTAACGAGGGGGAAAAAAAAAGTTAATAATCAAATTGCAAGGTGGTTTTGAAATGACTTTCCTAGCAGGCTGCATGCTGTGATTTACTCTGTGTACCTAGGAAATCACTCTGTGGGCAAAATGGTAGAATAATGTTATTTCATTCTTTTTAATCTAAATATTTTGTCATAACTTTAAATCAGGTATGTCATGTCCTTGGTAGAACTGGATATTTTTTTCCTCATGTGTATGTAAGAGAGGAAATAAACCTTCCAATGAACCTGGCAAATGCTTTCAGGGAAGGAGCTGGGATGATCCGTTGGGAAGAGCCCCCCGGTGAGCGCTGCCCTTTTCCTTCTGGAGCTGCGACCGTGCACCCAGCGGGGCACCCAACTCGAGCCAAAGCAGGTTCAGCTCAAAGGCTTCTCCACAGAAAACGGGAGAAGGAAGAATGTTTCTCCTTTGGGATGAGATCAGCCCATAAAAATCAGCAAATATCCAAGGGGGAGCCTGGAGGAGGCGAGCCCAGACCACAGACCACTTTGTGCTGGGCTCAGCCGATGGCTCTAAGCCACCAAAGTGTCAGCTGAGGCCACGGCGGATGGGGCTGAGCTGAACGAATCCAAAATGCATGGAGGAATCCAGAGATTCCTGCCCCCAAAGTCCACAGCCCAAGAAAAGCAGAAATGGAGCAAAACACGCTGTCATGTGTGGTCTTTTTTCACTGGTAAAGAATTTAGCTCGCAGCCTTCACCCCATATCCATTTTGCCTGCAATTTCACACACTTCTATAAATTATCCTGCTCTTCTGGGTGTATGCTGGGCATTCCCTTATCCTGCCCTCTCCCAGGGCAGCCCCACGGCCATGGAGGCTGCTCTGCAAGGGGGAAGGGCCTGGCCTAATTAGCCGATTCCGGATGCAAACAGCCTTGGCATCTTCCCATATTTCTCCGTTGGTTTATGTTGAGCTCCGGCTTCGGGGACATCTGGAGATTCTCCTCCACGAGACATCTCAGCGGGAGGAGCGGGAGGCACCCGGACCGGGGGAGGAGCGGCCGCTCGGATGGATGCGGCGAGTGGATGGATACGGATTTGGGACTACCCAAGGGGGAGAAGGGCTGCCCATTCTGCCCAGGGGTGCATTTCCCTTTCAAAAACCCTCCCTGCATTCCCAAGCATCATCCAGGAAAGAGCAAAGGCTTTGAGGATGGAGGCATCCTCAGAGTCCCGCGGCTCTTCCAAGCCTCTGGAATGCTCCAGCCTGTGCTGCCCAGCCGCCTCCAGCGAGCGTCAGCACCGAGTAAGGATGGAGAACGGCGGGATGGAGCGAGAGGAGGGAGAACCTCCCAGAACCCGCTGCTGCCGGGGCTTCTCATCCCCCTTTTTGCAGCAGCTCCGATCACAGAAAGACAAAAAGTGCAGCAAATCCCAACATCCCAGCTGAGCGCGACCGAGCGGGGAAGAAAGCGGCATTTGGTCTTGTTTACTTTCTGGCAAAAGCTATACGTGCTCCAGTGTTTTGAAACAGCGAAGGCAGCCAAATTCCTTCTGGATGATTAAATTTAACTCTTCTGCTCGCTCGGTAACTCACGTTGGTTCTGGACAAGGGCAGGCCAGGCTGGGGCGGCTTCGTTCGCCCCTTCCCTGCTCCCCATCCTGCCCATTCCCAGCTCCGGCTCTGCCTTTGTTTGCGGGAGAGCCCACAAGGAAGCGGAGGAAGGAAGGAAGGGTTGGAAACGCTGCTATAAGGCACCGACTTGGGCTTCCAAAACGCTCCTGCTGCCTCTTCTCCCTGCCCCCAGCCGGCAAAATATTGGGCAAGGAGGGAAAGGGAGAAGGAATTAAAAGAAAAACTAATGGGCTCCGAGCGCTGGGAAGCGCTGGCGTCTCCGCGGGCGCCGTGCTGGCACGCTGCCAATCAAAATTAGGTTAATTGAGTTGCTGGTGTGCAGCGAGCGTGCGCTCGGCCCCGGGGACCCGGCTGAATGGGGTAATTGGAAGGGCCCAAACGTCCCCGTCGCCAGCCCGGGCAGGCAGCGGCCTCGGAGGCTTCACCAAGCCCATGGGCTCATCAAAGCCCCTGCGGAGCTGGGAAATTCTCTCTGTCCATTGCTTCGTTTTTAAATAGTCTGGATTTTGCTTGGGCAAATGCAAAATTTCACGGGAAATTCTGCACTTCCTAATTTAGTTTGCTTCTTGAGGTTGACAAAAATAGAGAATTTCATGTTAAAAGACTTCTAAATAAGCAAATAATTGTTCCATGAGAAATGCTTCATGCCACTGTTCCACTGGGAGTATCAAGTCATGCAGAGGATACCCCCCCTCTACCTTTTTCCTTGGAAAAAAAAAAGTTGTCCTCACCGGTTCGATAATTGCAGGCTCCCCTTTCTGCCCTTTCTCGCCCCGTGGACCACCGATCTATAGGACACAACAGAGAAAAAGTCAAACAGTCATAGGGGACATCGATGGCCTCATCAGCTGGAGTAGGGCAGGAACATATTGAGGAGATTATAGCTTGTATTGGGGAAAATACAACTTGGGGAGAATTACGAAGGCAGAGGACCATTAATATTTGACTAGACATAGAGCATCTCTTCCTAGTTTGGGCAAAGACTTCCCTCCTGCACAAAGATTCATTTCGGGTGCATGAATCCATGGCTAATTTCTACGCTATAATGATGGGAAGAGGAACATTTGGGACCAGGTTTAGGTTTGATGCTGTTTGGAGGCTGGAAAACCCCCAGTGCCCTCTCACCCCTTCGTAGATGGTGTCCTGGTTGGCCGGCATTCCCGGCCCAATATCAGGAGATACTGTCCGGTCATAATAGCTGTCATAGTAATTCCCATCATATTCTTTTATTGTTTCCTCGGTGAAATCTTTATCCAGGTCCTCTCCTCCTTGACCACCCTGAAAACAGGAATAACATGTCAACATGCAAGTCTCTTTATGCCTTTATATCCTTTTTATATCCGATTATGCCTTTTTCCTTTTTTTTTTCTTTTCTTTTGTCACGGAAAAAAGCTTTAGAACAATGATTGAAAATAAAATTCACAATAAAAGTTAACGCCTGGAGTTTAAAGGTCTCCAGTGACCCATAAGGGTCCTGTGTTGGGAAAAGCGCATGGGATGATGTCCTTGTCTAAGTGCACAGCCTGGCATTCCCCAGGAATTCTCCATCCATCTAGGAAACGCTGCAAAGGTCACATTCCTTGGAAAATGAAGCACCCCACAAGCACTAGATAAACCTAAAAACCCACGAGATGGGTCTAGAGTTCAAAACTTCCAACTCATCTCTTGCAGCCTGAATACTGGAGCCACTAGATTATTAAGCATCAAGAGTCCCACAGCCAGGCCCGTATTTTAAATCCGTATCAGAACACAGTGAGTCATTACTACGAGTATCAGGTTATAGGAGGAACTTTGGAAAAATCCAAGTTTGCTTGTATGAAGAAATCCTGTTTGTTTAGTCTAGAATCCAGGCTGTAACTGCGCTTGTCCTAAGAGCAGAGCAGCAATTTTTGAAAATCTGATGCAATAATCCCCAAGTCCTTTCTGAATCTTCAAAGCAACAGATGTTCTTGCTCACAGACAAGGACTTTTAGATGAGCACCAGAATTTCCCTGCCTTCTGTCCAGGTCTGTGTGTGAAAATCACACCCCTGCACTTCTTGCAACCTCATAAGCCAACTGTCCCTTGGCATCCTTCAGTCTGAGGAGCAATATAAGGAAGAATATGTGCTGATAATTGTTTTGTTTGCCTTCTTTCCTGGCCAGGTAATGAACAAAGTATCCATAAAATAAATTATTTCCAACACTTCCAAGAAAAAAAATCTCACTACTAAGAATCCCAAATTACTGTTAAATGCCACCATCGCTTCCAGACCTTGTGTTTCTGCCAAAACTGCTCAGCATCTATAAGTGTGAGCATCTGTATTTAATAGGCAAGAGGTTTTAAAACAAGAATAAACTAAATTTCAATAGTCACCCCCCACCATCTTGTCTTTTTTTTTTTTTTAAACCTCTTCAAATCCAAGTATTCTTAGCAGAAATTACAGTTTGGCAATTGCTACAAGGGTATCTTTCCTTCCTTGAAAAATCCACAAGCTCCTATATCAGAAAATCCTTCAGGGGAAAGGGGAGGTTCTGCATGCTGAGATTTGTGCCATTTGGTGCTGATGGGAAACTCCTAAGAATAATTTTTCAAAAATGCTGTTAGGAAATTTGGATCACAAAATAGCCCGGAAGGAAAGAAAGAGGTCAAAAGTGATCACACATAACACAGCAATTCTCCCTTGTTGTTAATTGCCTCATTTAAATCGACTTTAATCTTCCCTTTTGAGAAAGCAAGGCAGGTTTGGAGCCTTGGTACCTGCACCTGGACAAGGAGAGCAGACTGCCTGATGAAAAGCAGGCAATGAACAGAGTGTATTTTGCCCTGGTTGCTCGTGTTCACAGCACCACTGCAACTTGCTCCAGCTCAGAATCGCTTCCCTGGCATTTATCACTTATAAACCACAGCAAAATCCAAGCCCAGGGTGAATTCATTGACTAAATCTAACCCACGGGCTCCAGAAAGTTGCTAAATTCCCTTGCAATTCCCACTAACTAGCTGAATGGCTCCAGCGGTCCATATCTCCGACCAAAATCCCACTCCTAATAACAGGCATTAAGCAGGTTTACATGCACGAGACCCCAGACCCCAGTGTGCTCCTAAGCTGCTCCATCTGCTGCAGGATTAAAGGACTTGGACCTCCTAAGAGCTCAAGGCTACAGCTTCCAGAACCTCCTGGGCAGTCCTGATGCTCTCCAGGATCCCTGCTATGGTCACACTGCGTTGGCCTTCGCCCAAGGGCCAGCTGCATCATCTGCTACATGAGGCCCTTGGTCCCCTGGGACAGGCAGCCATCCCAGAGCAGCCTCCAGCCTTCCCCTTCCATGGGAAAGCAGCCCATTTCCTCACCTGAACTTTCTTCAGTTTCCTTATCCCAACAACTGAAGTGGCCTTCAAGTCTCTTATTCCCTCTTCCATTTCTTTGTACAAAGTCACCTTATCCAACCCTTAGTTCTTCTCTATTAGAAAGTTCTAGCTTGGCCAAACATTTCTGGCTCTCTTTCCGAATGCAGGGAAGTTTCCCTTAGGTTGGCGCTTGCATCCTCGATACCCTTAGGTGTTTCCTTTCTCCTTCTCCATGCATCCTTTTGGACACCACAGTTTGTGTCCCCAGTTGAGCAGACTCATCCCTGCCTTGTCACGAGCCCCCAGCTGGGGCTGCCTCTCGCTCCAGCTGTTCAGCTCTCTGCTTGGACCCTTTCCATGTCTCCGCTTCCCACTTAATTCAAGCTTTTTGGGCCAGCTCCAGTTGTTCTGGCCAGCTTCGGCTGCCTCTTCTGCCACCCTTCATTGATTCCCAGATAGCTTTGACTTTTGACAGTCCCATAACTGAATTATTAATGCAAGCACAAAGCTGCCAAGCCCAAACCAACCTCCCTGGAAACATTATCCCACTATGGACTCTACTTCCCCATGATCCTGGGCAACAGAAACCATTCCTTGTCTAGCACAAAGTCATTCTCTTGCATTGCAAGACACACACCCAAGTGCATGGAAATTTATTGCAGTTTGATCTGAGAATGTGACCAACATTCATATATTTGAGCACCAATATAAAAAAAGAAAATCCGGGCTAGTCTAAGGGTAGAATATTCACAAGTGCAACATGATTCAGTTGTATCACATTAAGTGTGGGTAACTAAAAATGTAACTGCTGCACAAAGTTGGCTATGCGACCTGGAGCGATATCATCTTTTAGCAGATCTGCACAAAGGGAATACCTGTCTGTGGGAGAGTTTAATAGCTTGGAATTGAGGGTGTTTTTTTTTTTTTTAATGGTGAAAATTTTTTTAAAGTTACAATCCAAAAAAATGTCAGAATGCAATTCAGTGAGAGCAGTAAAATGAGAAATACTGATGCTCTCTATGGAGTCAACATTTTAAGGATTTATATCAACAGCTCTGAAATAAAATGGTCTTGCTTAAATTTTTTACACTAAAACCTCATTTTTCTTTTTGTCAAATTGTGCTGCTTGCAGGAAATGCTGATGTCAATAAGAATAGATTTCTCCAGCAGGATAATCCTCAACCAATTCTACATATCTGCAGTGCACGCCCTGAAACATGGCCTGGAGTGATAATATTTTACGAGAACCTCCCTATTCCAACAGCTGCCCAAGTCTCTTAAAGCTTTACCGCACGCGCATCACAACTCCTTTCTCCGAGGGCTAGGAAATACCAAAAAAAACAACTCAAATTGGGAAAAATGCATGAAGAATTACGAAGAATTACCTCGGTGTCGTTGTAGGTGATGACGGTGCTAGTGGGGAGCTCCGCTTCAACTGCGTTTTCCGTAAGCCCTCCCTGGGGATCCAGCTCCTCGTTGTAGTTGATGTCCTCGTAAGGCGGAGGTGTGAAATACTCCTCGTTGATGGTCTCGTAGTTGTACTCGTCCACGATGGGATCGTCCACCTCGCGCTCCTCCTTCCTCTCCTTGCCGGGGGCTTCTCCATCGGGCGACTGCGTGGGCGCAGGGTAGTCCTATTGCAAAAATGGGGTGAAAATGGTAAATTGAGATAAACTGAGCGTCTGCATCTTCCCCCCAACTCTCCCATCAGTCGCTCTGGAAAGGTGCAAGGGGTTAACCATGATTCCAGGAGGAATCCACGTTGGTACCTGCTTGGTCTCGGGCCGCTCTCCCGTGGCCGCCTCTGCAGGGCCAGGTTTGGTGGTTGGGGCTTCTGGCTTCACGGTTTCATCCACATCCTCGTAGTAGGGGTATTCGTAGTAATAAGTGTCGCTTTCTCCCTCCCCATCCGTGTACTGCCAAGAGAGCACGAGAACACGAGATAAATATCCAGCACGCCAATTGAGTCACCCAGAATAACACAATAGAAAGGAAAATAAAGATTTTTTTTTAAACAAAAAAGTGATTTTTTTGAGGTCACATCTTGCATATTCAGGGAGGGGATGGAAAACCTTGAACCACGCAGCCACTCCGAGAAGCAGCTCTGCTATTTTCATTCATGCAACTGCAATAACAGCACATGTGCGACTCCCGATCCACCCGCGGCCGGCGGCCCAAACGCCTTCAAAACCAAGATGTTTTCCGAGCTTTCCACAAGGCGTCAGTCATTCTTCAAGATGAAAAACAAACAAAATGTTTGGTCGCAGCCGGGCACGGCACATTCCCTAGCCAGGCCACTGGTTTCCCTGGCGGGAGATGCCGGCACACGGGAGTTATCCCGGCTCCGAGCCCCGCGGCCCTGCAGAGACAAGCCAGCCCTTGTTGGCCTGCTGGCTCCAAAAGAGGAGTTTATTTTCCTGCTCCTCTGTATTTTGACCATGCCGGAGTCTATTTTATTCTACTTATTTATTGGTTCTGCAGAAGCTGGTGGAGCTGTTACAGCTTTTTCCTGGGGCTCGGAGGCAGCGCCTTGCTCTGGTGCAAAGTGACCCGGCTGCAAAGCAAACAGCCCTTGCAAACGTGAACCCAAAAATCCTTCAAGTCACGGGTGGTTTCTTACCTCAGGCCCAAACCCACCCCAAAAGCAGCATGTTCACTGCCCCAGGGACTTGCAGGGCCCCGGAGAAGCCCTCAGGTACAAGGTCAGCCTAAAGGAAGGGCAGCCTGTGCCTGCAAATCAGACACTGGGAGCAGCCAAGATTTTCAGAAGCGCCTGAGGATGCCAGACAGTTCAGTTCCTGTGAGCGAGCTTGAGACCCCTTAAAAAAAAAGTGCAAATTCCAAGTGATGGATGCAAGGAGTCATCTGGCAATCAGCCCCATTCAGACATCCCTAATTAGCTACAGAAGTAAGACAGGAGCAGAGCACTGGACGTAAAAAATAAAAATCTTTGGCTGAAATCTGATGCAGTGCAGCAGTAAAGTACAACAGTTTATACAGGGGAACATATCAGCTTGCAGCATTCCTGTCAAAATGAAATATAAATGGCAAATGCATAGGCAAATAGGATCCCCCCAGCCATACCTATTTTTTCAGGTAGTAACAAAGAAAGATATTCTTTTAAAATGGGCAATAACAAAAATTCAAATTTAGAAACAAGTCTTGCATGGGATGGCAGCAAGCAAGGAAAGGCAGCAACATTTCCACTGCAGTTACTGATGGCCATAGGGCTCCAAGTAAACACTCCCTTTAGTGACTAGGAACAGTGCAGAAACAAAACAAAATTCCTAAGGGAAAACCCAAGGCAGAAGCAGAGCTGGGATGCAAACCTGCAAGCCCTAAAAACAAGCTCTGCATCGGCGCTGCTTCCCGGTGCCCGCGCTGGCTGCGCGGCCTCCGGCTCGCAGAGGAGAAAAAACTATTGAGGTCAATAGACCAGAAGAGAGGGAAAGGAAAAAGGCAAAGTTTCAACTTGACTGCTCCCATTGATTTCGTTATCCAAATGATGCTGTTAACCGCAGGGGGAACACGCCAAGATGGGCAGATGACTTATGGATGATCTGTGGGGAAGCGGAGCAGAAGGAAGTCTGCACCGCGGAGGCCGGCGCGCCCGGGAGGCCGACGGAGCAGCCTTCATCGCGGAGCAGCCTTCATCGCCTCCCCTCCGCCTCCTCGGCGCGCTCCCCACTCACGTATTCGTCCTGGTTGGGGTCCTGGGACTGGGGCGAGTCGGGGACGGCGGTGTCGCAGTCGGGGCTGTAGTGCTCGCAGTAATCGTGCGCTGCTCTGGGGTCGGCCACGATCAGGAGCTGCTGGATGTCACCCTGCAAGGAAAGGAAACGGGTAAGGGAGACGGCTACGAGGGGATAAGAACAGCGAGAAATTAAAGGCAGATCAGGGAGCTGCTCAAAACTGCGCCTGAGCTAAGCCAGCCGCACGCGTGCCCGGTCCCAAGGCTGTGTCAAGCGGCCACTTAGCGCCGGTCGCCCTGCATCCCAGCTGCATCTTTCCAATGGGATAATCCTATCTGGAGAGCGCTCACCAGCCCTGGACAGGCTCAGTCCTGCCCTGCCGACCCGGCAGCGCCGACAGCACCGGGGACAAGAGCGAGGGAAGAGGTTCTAGGGGCTTCAGCCTCTTGCTCATCCTCAACTTCCCACCCGCAGCAGCTGCCAAACTTAGAAACACATTAGAAACAAGCCTGATAAGGAGGGAAAAAAAAGGAAATCAGAAGTGGCTTCTTGAAAACCAGGTGCACAGCGAGTTTCCTGTGACTGCCTAAGGACCCCTTGATACTCAGCAAACCAACGGCACAGCTGAAGCCCAGGGGTCAGGTCCAAATTGCTGCTTAGTTTTCTAAAGAACCACAGCACTGCTCAACCTTTGCGCCAAAACACAGTTTATCCAGTAGACAGTTACATAAGAAAAGACTTTACTACTTGGATTATTAGAGCTGATGCTTTAATTGGGGAAAAAGTCTCATTTATAATAGAAAAGTATTGCTAAGGCAGCAGGGAGAAAAAAAAAGAAAAAAGAAGCATTACAGCAAAACTGGGAGGATGACTTGGGCATGTAATAGGAACCAGAAGCTCAGAATGGAGTCTGGCCAAAATGTCTAAAAGCCCCATGGAAAACCAGAGTATATTTTTGAACCAACGGGCCGGCTCTGCTTTTGTGCATGCAAGCGACACTGGCTCCAGCTGCGGGAGCAGACAGAGCGGGAGGAATTCAACCCTCGGAGCCATCGGCGCCGATGCCATCCGGACACCCACCACGGCACCCTCCGTGTCCCCCCAAAACGAGGCAGTTTCTTCAATGCAGAAACCCCCAGGAGAGGAAGGGCTGCGAGGAGCTGCACGGACCCAGCGCCATCCCGCCCTGCTCCGCGTCCCCGCTGCTGCTCCCTGCGACATCTGGGCAGCTTCCGAGCGCTCCGCGAGTTATCCCAAAACTGCGGGTTGGTTTTCGCTTATTAGTCATAATTTCCTGTGACTAACCTTTGCAAGATTAGCAGAAACGTCTGCAAGCAGGTTTCCAATTACTGCCTTAGATCAGAAAAGGGCTTTTATCCCCCTTCGCGTGCGATTATTATTATTTGCTTTTGTCATTGCTGCCTTACGCTTTTTCCATCTAACCACTCAAAACTGGGATGAAACACAGGGAAAACGGTCAAAAAATACCAGGTATTTTTCTCACTGAGCTTTTGTCACACCGATAGTGAGATAAGCAAAGGGAACAGGGCCAGGCTGCTTACCTGGCTAAGATAATTTAAGGTAATGATGTGAATATCTGTTTAGCTCCTATTTCCCAGGACAGGTTCTCAACTACTTCTGTCCCTTCATGGCCAACTGACTTAAGTCACCCATGTCCTTCTCTTGGTTGGTGGCTGTAACTCCCCACTTTCCATGAGGCTTTGGGGACTCTCCTGCACTCCTGGGACAAGCTGAAATAAAACAGCCACCAACAGACCTGACACTTGTCTCCAAGAGGCAAGGAAGGAAGGCTGAAAGCTTTTTCTTCCTGATAAGCACGGATTTACACCTCAAGGAGAGCTGACAGGCTGTATCCTATAAGTAACGAGGACTAAAATTCTGTTTCCTTGAGGAACAGATAAAGCAAAGAAAGGCACGTAGGCTAAACGCAGTGCAAAAGGTTAAGCGGAAAAGAATTTTTCAGCGCTGAGTTTGCTTTTCGTCTCCGCTGACTGCAGCTCCTGAGCTACGTACGGGAAGAAATCCCAGCTCGACGCTAAGCGTCGTTTCCCGATTTCCTTTTCGAACCCCATCAATCACCCTGCCCATCGCTCCCTTGCTGCTCCAGCAGCAACGTGCAAGCACGTAAAGCCAGGAGGAAAATCAACACATCAGATTTTGGAGGAATGAGGGCCGGAGGAACCATCCGAGCTCGCGGACGCTGCGATGGGGCGAGCAGCTGGATAGAGGGGAGAGACTCCAAGGGCTACTAGACCATTCATCCTTGTTTCATTAACAGCAACTGCCAAGCACCAGTGCGTGCCCTGCCTTAACACTTAGAAAAGGAAGACAGGAGTAAAAACCTTGTTAGCAAGATTCCCAGTCAACTGACCTCATCCTTCAGCGCAAAACAATAAAATGGGCTAATTTAGCCAGCAATAAAAAGCCCCACTATCTGCACTTCACAAAAGACGCACAAAGCTGTGCTGTCAAGACGCCCCATTTCTTTGATTTAAAAAGCTGACTTTACATAAAGCAAGCTGTGCGGGGAGGCTCACGAGCCTTTTGTGGCCTCTCAAGTGTGTTGCTGCTAATAAATATTGCCCCGATAGCCGCCCCCAGCCCGGCACGGGTCCGTGCCCTCGTGCTCCCCATGCACCCCAGTGACAGACCTTCCACGAAGCCTTTGCAAGATCTATAATGTGTAACTGCACCCAAGGCGGCAGCTTGAAGGCTTTACCGACCAAATAATTGAGGTTTAAGTCCTATTTTCAAGCAAAGCCCTCGAGCCAGGGAGGAAACGGGTAAGCGCAATGGAAGAGGCAGCATGGCCCATGCCACCAGCACCATCTTTGGGCACATTAATGTGTTGGTGGTGCCTGGACACATGGAAGGCTCAAGAAAGCACTTCCAGATGTGATATATTCCATCCCTGGAATATGACTAGCAGGTGGATACTGCCAGGAGCCCGCACCATGAGCAAGAGCCTCCCAAGGCTTCTGCTAGCATCAACCTGGCCCTAAATGCCATGGAGCTCCTTGACTTTCCAAATGTTTTCCTGGAGTGTTATCCCAAGAAACTCAAAAATGGATTGCAGCTGGAGCCACAGCCTCCTTAGTGCAGATTCTCTCGTTACTGGGACAAAGCTAGAGCTCAAACAGGAGTATTTCACACAACATTTCAGGAATGGAATACTTCATGGCACATAAGAGACTAGTCCAAATTTCCCAATTTAACAAAAATCTGAAGAGGGGAAAAAAGGTCAGTTTTGTCCAAAAAAAAAAAAAACATTTCATTCACCAGAAGGTCTATTTAAAAAACTGAAATAAATCCCATTTTGACCTTTATTCATAAAAATTCAGAGGAAGAGGCAAGACAGCACATTTATAAACGCAATTGTGAACTGAGAGGTTTTATTTGCTCCACCAAACAAATGGAAGTGCTAACTGTCACGACCAGTGCGAGTTTGTCTGACGTTTATGGTAAAGTCATTTATGCCGGATGACTCATTTGCGCTATGGATTAAGTTCCATAGGGCGAGTTTAATTCAACTCCCCAACCAGCTCCCAGACAAGACTGGAAAAGCTTTTCTGGAGCAGTTTTTAACACTTATTCTATACGTGTGCAAAAAATGTCACATCGCTTCCAATGACATCAATTTCAGTAACTCGGAGAAACTGCTGCGGTTCAACAAAACAAACAGCCGGTGAGGATAAGAGCAGTGACTTCATCTGGCATTGGCAGCAGCTCCATAAATACTGGAATTCTTTGGGGCTCTCACCGCAATGCACTAATAATTAACTGGACTGTTGTTTTAGTGCCTTACAACAGAAGTCTTAGAGACTCTTACCATCAATAAAAATAAATACTGCTTGATGTGTCTTTTTTAAACTCCTACATTTAAAGCAAATAACCACAGGCCCAGTCCTGCTGCAACAAAGAAAGGTCATAAAAATTATCAGAAGCAATTGGGATGCTGCTGTGTTTTCTTTTATTATGACATAAAACCTTGTTGCTTCTGCAAATGCAACTGAGTCAGGTGGCTAAAGAGTGGCAGAAGTTCAATGAGAGCCTATGATGAAGTGAAGCTTTGAAATCCAGGCACCAGAGAGCCTCCAAAACACGTAATCCCTGTCTTGGAGAGGGCCTGCCAGCCCTCCGATGTTCCCCTTGATAGAAGGTGTCATTAGGGCTTGTCCATGGATGGAGGCTCTCCCAATGCAGGCTCCAGGTGACTCCTCATTTGCTGGGATCTAAATGACACCCTTTGAGCTTCCAAATAATCTCCAGAACAAAATTGCACGGCAGTAGTTGGACAACTGGCTCTAAAAACCCCATCTGAATTCACAAGCAGTCATGAATCAGCTACAAAGCCTTGGTGGTGTGGACAAACCCAAGGCTCCTAACACTAGGGTAGGAACCTCTGCTGACCCCCTCCTCAAAAAAAGCCATACTTGATTACGCACAAAAGGGACGGAAATTTCCCCAAAACCAAATACGGCCCCAAGTAAAAGCCTTTTTCAAGAGCCAACAACGCTCCCTCGTTCCCATTGCATCAGCACCTTGACAACTCTTCTCCCAACACGTTTCGCACCTAATTCTGCATCCCCATCTCCAAACCACCCCGTTACCCTCCCGACACCGCATTAAAACTAGAACAGCTCTTCAGAGAGCCCAAAGGCCCCTTCCCAGGGGTGGCACTGCCTGACAAACGGCCTCGCTGGAGCAAGTGGATCCATTTCTTACACCCTGGCAGTGTCCAAGCGGATTAGGGCTCCGGCTGTGACAGCTCTGCCAGCACAACCCTCCCCACGAGCTCCGGGCGCTTTAACCAGCACCTCCTTGCTGGAATAAGGGCGAGCGACGCTCTCCCGCGTGAACAAAAGCCACATGGCTCTTTAATTCTGGAAAGCTCCTCCAAAAAAGCCTCTGCCCTGCCAAAACCCAAACACCCGTCAAGGGCTCGAGCCATCAGCAGAGGGGGAGACGCTCGTTCCCAAGTGGTTCCTTTCCCCCCGCTCATTCCGGTGTCCCACAGGAGGACACAGGAATGTCTCCTCCATGGGACGTTCCTGGGAGCTGCAGGCTCGGCCCCAGCACCCTCCTCCGCGATGAAGCCGGAGCGGAGCCAC